CGTGCTCCACGAACTAACTGCGCGTTATCACTGGTTCGACCCCTTATCGTAAAATCTACGAATTCGACCGTAGAGAGTTTGTTCAAACCTCCTACACATTTAACGTGCACTTGAGATTTCGGACCAGTAGCTCCTATCTTTTGAGAGACCTCAGAGTCTATGAAGGTAGCGGTAGACCCATCGTCTAGTAAGGCCCACGTGTCAAAACTACCTTTGGATCCAGTCAAAGTAACCGCTATTACCTTAAGGAGAGGTTTAAAGGAGTTAGGACATTGATCGGCGACATGGGCTATGTTCTGAACGTCCTCATCATGAAGACAGTCGGGTGGCGTATAGATAGTGGCAGGAGGTGCGGGCTCCAACGAACTACTCCCTGCTTCAACTTCAATATTATAATTATTGTCGTTGACTTTATGAAGCAAAGTATGATGTCGTCGGAACTTGCATGCCTCGACTGTACAAGTTTTCTTGCATATAGCATATCTATGGCTACCTTTAGTAAGACACTTGCGACAAACCTTATTGTCTGTGACCCACTTTAATCTATGATCAACTGACAACGATAAAAAATTTTGACAGACTTCAATGTCATGAGTTTGACACTGACAATATAAACACGGTCTGTTATTTTTGACAATAGGTTTATGCATAGCAACCGAGGGTAAGGCCGGTGTCGGACTTGCAATCTCTTTGGTCGCAACAAAATGAGCTCTCTCCGGACGGCCCTTGTCGCGAAAACCCATATCTGCTATGATACCAAATTTCGAATGAATATGAGCTTCATGAACAAGGAAATCCGAAAGGAGCTCCAGCTTGAAGCGACCAGACCCGGACTGAGAGAATGCAAAGTCCACCCATTTTTCCCTTAAAAGGGGAGATAGCTTACCGAGAATCGAGTTTACTAACTCCGGGCAGGCTAAATACTCAATACAACGTAATAAACGTATTATCGACACAAAGTTGCGAATTTTACAGGCAAACCCGTTTAGTTCCTTACCAGAGTCGTAATTCCCAATTCTGGGCAAAGCTCTTACCTCTGCTAATGTGTTGAGAACAACCAATTCAGAATTCCCGAACTGTTGCTCCAATGCAAAAATAACCTCCTCGGGATCATCTGACGCAACCAGGAGAGTAGCGACTGCGTCCCGAGCCTGACCTTTAAGAGCCAATGACAACCTTGACAGATTCTCTATGTCATCAAAGCGGCACCTGGTTCTCTCGTACATCTTGCGAAAGAACAGCCACTCGGATGGAGAGCCCGTAAAAAATGGAAGGTCACAAACCTTATTTCCGGTCGATGGCTTCAAATTCTTGATCGCCTGTGTGAGGAGTGTGATTTCCGAAATTTTATTAATGTTATTACAATTACACGGATTGTTGACTTTAGTGTGATGTGTGCTTACATGAGCAGTGTTTTCCACGGATTGCGCCGGGAGTTCTTCGCCAATTGGAAGGCTGCTCATACACTGTTCTGGTACCGCAGGGGCCCCATGGCCTCTGGGGCGGCACCGGAAGTGGGCACTGCTTTTGGCGTAAGAACAGAGACCTCTTTCCTAGAAAATTCACGCAATGGATTATTTTGCTCTAGAGCACTACCATTAATTTCAGAAGTTACTAACCAGTTTTCCACGTAGTTCGTTTTAGAGCTTCAAGAAGATCTACATGCGATCGCGGCCAGCTGGGTCTTTAATTTTAGTTTTGATAGAGCCTGTTGGCGTTCGGCAGCTGCCTTTTCGCGCTCTGCAGCTGCCTTTTCGCGTTCTGCAGCTGCTTTTTCGCGCTCTGCCTCAATTTTAGCCAACCGCTGCGCATGTTCTAGCTGCGCAGCTAACTTTTGAGCTCTTACTTTGCTTTTAGAGCTGACGTTAGAGCTAAAGCTTTTGTGCGATTTGGTCAATGACTTGTTCGAATCAACTATGGATGATTGAGGCATGTTACCTTCGGGCTCGCAGGATATGGGCGCGAGGGAGTCACAGGTGCGGGCGCTATCCTGTCTGTGAGCCACGATGGAGCCTGGTTTTTCCAAATTGATACTTTTTGCCTGTTCTCTTGTTAGGGGCATAGTACGTTACGATTGCTAACCACACTGACACCAAAATATCGAACACAACTTTGAAGAGCACAAATTATTAAAACACGTATACTCGAATAGACATTTTTAATGACATATAATAACAAAACAAAATCTATAAAAAATACAATATTTAAAAATAAACCATAAAGAACATCAAAATAATAAGGTTTTATAGGTAGGTGGCCGGTGCTTAGTGGCTGTCGCCAACAAAGGTACTTAAGCCATTTTCAATAAAAAAAAAAATGATGATTTTTTTATGACAAATAATATTATTTATATATTGAAAAACAAAAAATAGAATATTATAATCTATTTTCCGTTTACGATTTGACATTTTTTTTATAATAATTCATTTTAATCATGGATATATCTTACTTACATAAACCTGAAATTATTTATGTACTGAAATTACTAAACGCGAATTTTGATTCCACCCAAACAGCTCAAGAATTGCGTGAAATTTTAGTACCAATGATAGGAGACCCTACTAATTATCCTCTGTTAGCATATAATCCGATCGAATTCAATCACATTATTATCTTATCCAACTAGGAAAAATAAGATTAAACCTAACCAAATCCATATCAGAAATATATTGTCTCTAATAGAATTGACAACAGAAAATACAAACGAAGATATCATCACAATAAAAAAAAATGATCGTTTACAACAATATTTAACAAATTTCCAAAATTTAGAATTTACTCCACCAACGTTTACATATCATTCTGCAGTTTCAGTACAACAAACTAGTGTTGTACAACCTTTTTAGAAAATCTTACCTAATTGAAAAAACAAATCAAATTTAGAAATTATGAAATTTAATTATTCCGGCGATGGCTGTCCTCGAGATTTTCTACAAAAGGTGGAAGAATTTGCAACAGCTATAAATATAAATTTTAATTCTTTCTGGAATAGCTTTTGAATGGTTCAGAGCAAATAAAGATCTATTCCAGATTGGGATATATTTAATTTTTTTTTATATTTTGAAATTATGATTACAAACAAAAAAAAAATTGATTCTCGTAAACCAAAACACAATGAAAGTATTATTATTTATTTTGCTACAATGTAATCCTTATTTTTTAAACTACATGAACCTCTTAAAGAAAAACAAAAAAATGAAATTTTACGAAGGAATTTGACACCTGAATATGATCAACGACTTTTACCACAAGATTTACAATCTATGAATACTTAAATTGAATCTTGTAAGTGGTATGAAAACTGCTTACAGGTTTTTCTGATATTTTATCACATTATAATAAACCCTGTTATGGATGATGAAGGGATTGAGACGTGAATCAAAGGAGAACACCAAGTTCGGACTGATTTATTAACATAAATGATTTTCTCATATTCACAAATATCCATAATTCCCTTTTTATATAAAAAGCAAATGATATATCAATTAAAATGCATAGATATTTATGATATAAGCAAAATAACAGTAGGAAGTTATTTTTTTAAAGAAGGTACCTAAACTAAAATCATAGATTACTAAAAGATATACTTTTGGAATTGCATAATAATAATATTCATAGGTTGTAATCATTATTATTAAATATAATATCAATCTCCGCTTTTAAAAATGAGATTTAAAATACATGCATTAATTATAATTCTTTGTAATTAGTATTAATTATAATTTTTAACCAACATTTATAAGTTGAAAGAAATAAAATATTATTAACTAGACATTCATATCATTATTCTATTATAAGCATTGAATATTTTCATATATAAACTAATTAACATTAACGTTGTAGTTTAAAATAAATGCATTCAATACAATTCTAAGCATATCAGTTAAACTTCCAACTACATATTTTTTTTTATCGTAAAATTTGTATTATTACTGGACATCAATATAATTATTTTATTATTAATGTTGATTATTTTAATAAACCAAACACAATTCATGCTTCCTTAAAAATTCGTAATTATACAAACATTCGTTAAAACATGAAATAAATCAAAAGAAATTGATACGCATATACAAGATAGATAGATAGGTATATAATGACTCACTGAGTTAACCAGAATCAGGAGGTTGTGGAATGTCCCCACAACCTTCTGATTCCGGTCACGAGGAGGCTTCACTGTCCTGCCACAAAGTGGGCAATTATTAATATTATTGTTATTTAACATTTGCCCTACAAGTTTTTGACTTTGACTTGACTTTTGTGGTACACCGGAGCTAGTTTCTCTTGACCCTTTCTTTGTATGAATAATTCTCAAAAGATATTTGATCGTATTTAAATCTATCATTTTTTATTTCAGACAAAACTGATTGATTATGTCTTAATTTTGCATAACTTTTAGTTAACATAAATAGGAGGAAGTATTTTGGTTTTTAATCCATAATAAGCTAAGTTCCATTTTTTCAATTATATAGATTCATTGGAGCTCAGTGACAATGCACTTTTGAAAAACTTGCATCAAAAGTGCGTTCGTTCAATGAACGATTGCCGAAACACCGAAGAGATATAACGGCTGGTGCCTAATATCAACAACTACCGTCTCACACTGCGCGCCATCAAACTGTGGGCTAAATGTAAGTGTGTACATACATTCTTTCATAATACTCATAGCTTACTGCTGCTAGATGCTTATTTTTATGAAAGACACGAATATGAGAAACATCTTCGTTAATTTATTTTGAATTTTAATCAAAACATTTACAAAGTAACTAAGAGAAAGCTTTTTCAAAATAATCTATTAATTTGTACACCAAAAATAGGTAAGGATTTGATTATAAATGAATACATCATTGTGTTTGGCTCAGGTCACGGTACTCGTATATACTCCAACACACTGGGCTACCTGGGTGGAGTATCGTGCCAGCTGTACCCTAACGCGTTGTTGGCGACGCTGGTGCACAAGTTTTTCCTAGTGTTCAGCCAGTAGCAATGGCCTCGGCGTGATGTTGAAGCGCCCCGACGCAGTTAACTTAGGATTCCCCGTCTGGGATCCGGTAATGGGGTAAGTAAATCATCGTATAACCAGCGGTCCAAGTAGGCCTGTAATACACTTGAATAAATATTCTTTCCGTTCAGAAGTAACATTTACTTAACATCCGTTATATAATTTCTGTTCTTAAAATTTGCGTTCTTCTTTTTACTCTCATAGTAAACATTTATCATATCCTTTTAATTCAAATTATGAAAATAAACAAAATACTAGTTCCAGGAAACTGCTTTTATAACAAAAGTAAACAGTATTGAGTAGCTTGTTATTATTGTACAGGTGGATCTAGCAGGTCGGTTCCACCTGATGCCTATCATCACACCAGCATATCCACAGCAGAACTCCATTCATGATCTTTATCATTCTTTATTTTAAGTGCTTCATGATAATTTTCCTATTTTATTGTGTTTTATTGCTTGAACTGTATAAATAACAGGTAAAGATTGCAACAAAAGACCACTTTAAAGAATTATTTATAAGATTTTGTTCAGTTAAGAGAGTGAAATAATAATCACCAAATTGAATTATAATCACAAATACATGAATTTCTAGACTACCTGCATATCATAAAATATTTTTCTCAGTATTTCCTTTCCATAATCAGTCAGTTTTGATTCTAGTTAGTTAAGTTTTTAACCTGAACGATCGAAATAGAACATTTCTAAGTTGTAAAAAAGATATTTGAAACGGGTACAAGATTCACATCAGTGTTAAAAAAAATCAACTGAAAAAACCGCCACGTAGTACAATATCAACACGTGTTTATTCTTTGAAAATAATTATTTGCATTCTTTCAACAAATAAGCTAACTGGTCGTTCCTACCTGGAGCTTCATGCGACAATTGTTTCACGCACTCGATACAATGCGCGCGTCTTAAACAATATCACTATATGGGTGTCATAGAAATAGACAACTAATTAGGACAAACCAATTCACATTCGTCGAAAGCGGTACACAAAGTAGCCCTTTATTCAAAATGCATAACACCTCGATAAGGTGCGTTCCATTGTCCAACGCGCGGTATTTACCCCTTCTCTACCCTTCCGTGACCGTTGACACAGGTAGAAATTCAAAGGCGTCCTTTTTTCAAATCAGTACAGCTCGGACGACGTGGAAGCCGCACACTCAGTCACATTTCCGTCGGTGGTGATCGTTCTGCGCATAATTACGATGAGGACCGCCGGCGATGACGTGGCAGAGTTGAGGAAGAACGAGTGTAGTGCTTGTTCCACAGAGTTCAAGCAGTACCAGCACCTGGTGTGTCACCTGTACTGGCGCCACGGAACCGAGAGCCTGAGCTGCAGCAAATGCCCAGTGCGGAGGTGGAAGTACGCACTCCACATCTGCAACGTTCTCTCGTACGACGACCTCGCGTACGGTGACGAACCTGCGGCCGATGCGGGGAGTGTCGCCTCCAGCTCTGGGTCTGTCCCGGAACAGCGGGACAGCATCTAATGTTCCTGCGGCAAGGAGGTCCCCGGTGCCTACATGATCGGGTGTGATGGTGACCACTGCAGGTACCAGTGGTACCACTACAGCTGCGTGGGCATCACCGAGGCGCCAGAGGAGACCTAAAAATAAAATCACGAAATGAAACTAAAATAACTAGCATTCGGACATTGTACCTATCGATTATATTTCATTTTTAGCAGACAAAATTAAATATCAAATCTGTAAGGTAGAAAAATAATAAAATGTTAAACTGCATTTTGTTTCAATATATTATTTATATAAAATTTTATTAATGTTATTACTTTACACATAGCAAAAATTTCATTTTTATGATATTTTCGTAATATCTATTTCACCTTTATTGAAATATAATAAAAATATTTAAAGAACATTAGGTAAAGAACTAGATTTTCAATTCAGAAATCATGTTCAATGAAAACGTTAAATATTATAAAGCAACGAAATAGTTTGAGAATTCAAAATTTTCAATTGGACCTGTGATTTCAAAAATAAATTACTTCAAGTTGTTACTTGTAAGCAAGCAGTAAAAACTAAAGAAATTAGAACACTCACCAAATTTCGGAGTTGTGTAGCACAAACTTAAAAATATTTCAACTCGTTTAAAAATGAACTATTGCTGCTCGAGAGGTCGCTATATACTATTTCACCTTTATAAGCCGCGTTGCGCTTCCATGTCTACCTACCTCCATAGTACAATTGTTACCCATGTACCTACAATTATTTTTATTGATATTTTTCTTTAAATTAATTTGTATCAAAACGTAAAAAGGAATTAAGCACATCAGCTAAACATGCAAAAGGGAGACAGTTTATTTAGTAAACTGTTACAAGAGTACCATAGATAGGACGTCAATAAATGTACACGTAATTTTAATACCGAAAACTGGTTCGATATAATAATCGAGCTAGTATTCCTAAATTTTAAGCTCTAATACGGATGTTATTACGGTCCTTCTTTTGTTTTTGATCTTTTTAAATTATAATTTTTTGTCTAGTTGCATGCACAATCGGCTATTGTGTAAATTTGTTCTATTTTTCATGTAATGCTAGTTCGTCTGAAAGAAATCGCTGGCTAGCGATGAGTTTATCGTTTGTACTTATTTATGTAAAATAAGTATTCATGTATGTCCTTGTTGTGCAGTATTTACTTACTTATTTAACTGCAATTTAAACCGAATGCGCTAACCCACTACGCCATCGGACCCCTTATACCTAAGCTATACTAATATTATTATAGGTTGTTTGTTTGTTTGCATCGAATTTGATCCAATACTACTGGACCGATAGTTGCAGAGCGATTCCGACCTACGGGAAGCGCATGTCATAGGCTATAATTTTGCGGCAAAGTCATGTGAAAATAGCTAGTTCATTATACCCTGTGAAAACTTATCTGCGGTACGCCTGTGGAGTATGAAGTCAACGTATGAAAGTCAGTGCAAACTGCGAGCTCTTAGAGACCAAGCACATTTCCCTATTCTAGAATTTTCTAAAAGAATTTTCATACTCATACCATACTGCATATATGTAAATGCTTCAGATTCAACTTTATAGTGCATGAGCCTCGCGATGGGCAGTTAAATACGCTTCGCGTTTTTCAGGTGTCTCCCGAGACCTTTCTGTCTGATCCCTTTCTTTGTCTATAAAAGTCGGTCAGTACATGTCTGACGGAAGATACGTGGAGTTTTATTTATTGATATAAAACAATATATCATCACCAGCCCTTTTACGTCCCCACTGCAGGGGCCCAGGCCTTCCTGATGGATGGTTAAGGAGGATGGGCCATGACCCTCCACGCTGGCCCAATGCGGATTGGAGGGTATTAACGACTGCAAATGCAGCCGGGACCAACGGCTTAACGTGCCTTCCGAAGCACGGAGTAGCTCGCGATAATAATTTTTTGGTCACCCATCCCGTGACCGACCCTTGCTAAAATTGCTTAACGACTACGATCGCGGGCCGCGGCGCTTATCCACTACGCCATCGAGCTACACATACAAAAAAGATATATACTTATTTAAATTTCGACTTTCCACACTCGAAGGAAATCGTCTACTAACATACTTCCGAGAGGTGCTTAACTGAGTTTCTGTCAGATTTGAACGGCCCTCATCATCATCATCATCATCATCAGCCCTGTTACGTCACCAACTGCAGGAGCTCAGGCCTTCCTTATGGATGGTTAAAGAAAATGAGTCACGACCCTCCTCGCTGGCCCAATGTGGATTGGAGGATATGAACGACTGCAAATACAACGGGAACCAATCGCTTTACGTGCTTTCCGAAGCTTGGAGTTGCTTGAGATAATATTTTTTGGTCATCCATCCTCTGCCCGGCCTTTGCGAAAGTTGCTTAACAACTACAATCGCTGGCCATGGCGCTTATTCACTACGCTACCGAGCTACTCTGAACCAACCCTCAGATTCGCGTAATATTATATGAGTGTTGTGACCAATGAATAAATCATTGTTTCCAGCGAAGACTGAAAATACCAACTTTGAAGTACGTATCTACAGCAATTTGTATGTTAAAAATAACAAAATGAGTATTAACATAAAAAAAAATATATATAACTCGAGTTGTCTTGACGTTCTTAAACAAACAAAGACAAACAAACAGAAAAAAAAATCATTGTTTTGTGTTCTATTACATTTATTAAGGTCCCTCAGAACAGTTTTTTTATATATCTTCAATGTGCAGACATCATGTAGATAATAGTAATCTTCTAGTAACGTGTCATCTACTTACGCTAATTTGTTCAGCATCGCTGAATGGGCTAAGGCATTTGGACTGAAGGTTAATACACTAAAAAACAGGTTATGATAGTGGGTAGGTCTAGACTATTAACTAGAATCGACTAGAATACACTTCTTAAGGTCGGCTTTGAGGGAATCGATAAAACATTTAGTGTAACTTTAAAGAATCTGGGATTGACTGGGATGACCAGCTAAATAAACATAAAATTTCTGTATTAGGTTCATATTTGGTCTTCGCAAACATGACCGTGTCGCTCAGTATCGTAGACTACGATAAAATATTGTCAGGATATAGGGTTATGGGTAATTAGACCGGATCCTTTTAAGGAGTCATAGGGGAGGTCAATAATATTTTTTGTCACTGCACATTGTATATCCGAAAGTTATTTTTTTTAATGCACTTTTGTTTGCAAATTGCAATGCCTAACAAAAAACAATTTTTGATTTAAAACTATGTAGTTTTTGTTTGGGCCAAGATTATTTAGGTTTTATTATTATTTATCACGAATTGAAATGTTATCTCTTCAAAACTGTCAACAAAAGTATAGTTAAAATAAATACAATTTATCACAAAATGGCTCACTTTTGAATACATAATGTGAGGTGAAAATTATTGTAAATAACCTCCTTTATGACCGCTCAAAAGGAACCGGTCTAATTACCCATAACCCTGTATACCCAGATGAGATGTTTAATATTAATTTTATTATTGTTAATTACTTAGCAATATCATTCAAAACAAAGAAGAGAATTTTCAGTGGTCTCTTAATTATATGATTTGTTTGAGTATTTAAAAAGCGTTTAACTTTATACATCTTATTGAGTTATGAAAATTTAACACTGGCTACATTTAGTTTTTAGTTCTAAGAAATACTGTAGGTGGCGCTATACTGTACCTTTTTGTCTGTGGCCTGTGTTCTTACCGAGTAAAGAATTGTGCAAGAAAATAAAATAACATTATTCAAGAAAACAGTTCTTTAATTAGAATTCCCAGTCCATAACCCAATTTTTTTTTTTTAGCTAAAACTAATCTTTTATTTATATGTTCTTAGATACTAGCACTGGAACTTGCAGACACAAATAAATTACTTCTTAGCTGGCTTTTTTCGTGCATGCGTGGTGGTGGCATAGAAATTGAAAGAATAAATGATTATATTTATATTCACCAGCGGGAGTACATAGAACAAATTATTGAAAAATTTTGTATGTCAAATGCTAATCCAGTAAGTACTCCAGCAGATGTAAATGTAATTATTACCAAAAATGTTGATGAAACCACTATACATTTTCCTTATAGAGAAGCTTTAGGATCTTTATTATTTTTATGTTCTGTTTCAAGGCCTGATATTTCTTATGCTGTGAATGTATTAAGCAGATATGTAAACAACCCTGGTGAAATACATGTAAATGCTGTGAAGCGTATTATAAGATATCTAATTAATACTAAAGATTTATGTATAAGGTATGGAGAGAGTGATGATTTAATTGGTTATTCAGATTCTGATTTTGCTAGTGATGTTGATACTCATAAGTCTACAACAGGTTATATTTTCCTTATGAATGGTGGTCCAATTATTTGGTCTAGTCAAAAACAAAAGACCGTTGCTCTCTCTACTACAGAAGCAGAGTTGTGGCTGCCTGTGAAGCTGCAAAGGAGATATTGTGGTTGCAACAACTTATTATAGATTTAGGTGAGGATTTTAAATGTGTAACTTTGCTGGTTGACAATCAAAGTGCAATCAAACTAATAAATAACCCGATCTTATAGCGCGAGTCTGATAATGGCCCTTGGCACAGAAAACACGCTATTATAAATAATAAATTGTTTAATAAAACTGAAATACAATTAAAATAACTAAACTGTAATCTTTACACAAGCTTGAAAAATATTTTTTTTTTTTTTCTTTTTTTTTTTTTTTTTTTTTTTTTCTTTACACAAGCTTGAAAAATATATTTAAATTCTTACATGGCGGCTAAAGACAGAACCAAAAACAATAGACTTCATAATAATAGATTAGAAAAAAGGTCAATTATATACTACACAACGTGACAGTAAACGGACTGGCCGCCCAGATCTAGTTAAATACGGACGTAGTGCTTCAATCTATCATAAAAGAAGCAAACATATTGACGTAAAGTACAATTTTATAAGAGAGAAGGCTGAGTTTGGCTTGATTAAAATTAATTATGTTCCTAGTAAGAGTCAGTTAGCAGATATTTTCACTAAAG